GGCAACCAGATGTTGCTCAGGGTTTCATTGGTTCTCCGAGTCCGTTCCATGTCTTCTTCGATACGGCGGATGCGGACTGTGTTGACGCTAGAGTTGGCATCAATCTCCACAACTCGGTCGATGGCTGCTCGACCCTGCTCAACATTACGAACTATTCTGCGGATAATGATGGGTAGAGCTCGGTCAGCAGAACTTCCTTCGTTGACGTTGTAAAAGCTTTGGTCCCCAATGTATGGTAAGGGTTAACCCTATTCATCACTCCAGCGATTCAAGTTATTTACCCACACGGGAGTGGGACCTGGAAAAGCTGGTCGAGGGTTGTTGTTCGGGGCTTGACCTACTGGAGGTAGGTTGTTGACTTCGGGCTCAGAGTCGGATCCATCCGAGAACCTTCATCTTGATGATCATCCAACGGAATTTGGTGCTCATCATCAGACTCTGCTTCGAGCCATCCTGTGTTTCCTTCATTTGGAAAGTACGGGCCGTCGTGATGGAATCCAACCATTTTAACTCTACGCGAAAAGAGAGGTATAAAGATATAGTATATATGTAGCTAGAAGTACAAAATACAGCTATAGTATTTTAAGTTTAGGTTCTATTGATCTTCTTGTGGTATTGTTGGTAAATTTTTAGACTTGCTAACACATCACAACCATTCTAGGGCATATGCTAATCACTCCTCGGACCAGCATAGTTGATCAGGCTATGCTATTCCCAGGACTGACCATATATCCCCGAGCTTACCTGTGATATTTAACAATCGTAATACTTTTGTTCTTCTCATTGTGACACTGAATTTAGTATGAATATGCAGACTAGTATACTTAATTAAATATCTTAGTATTTAAAGTATAGACTCTTGGTCAGAGTGTTTTAATCCCAAATGGGTTTATAGTTTAGTATATCTTTTATGGGTTGATATACTTGATTCACTATAAACAATGCTCTGATACCAATCTGTCACACCCCAAAACCAAGAACGGCGGAAACGTTCTAGGGCGGAGGACGTCATGTAAAGTATCACAACATAGTAAATGTAAATAAGCAAACAACATCATCCATTGCATTAAATATATAATTTTAATACAAGCGTGTTCTGTACAGTTATAGACACCAAAAATAATGTAAATCAAGATAATAAGATGAGTCTTGGATGTGCTCCATCTTCTCAAAAGCTGGCCTCGGTACTTGTCTACTGAAGACCTGAGAATACAATTTATTTTGAAAGAGTTTATTAGCATTAAGTTGGTGAGTTCATAAGTGTTTTAGTGTCGATGTTTGCTATCAAAACGTTTGAACATGTCTCAATTGTAAGTTTGTAAAATGTAAGTAATTGTTTGTAAGTGTTTGTACAAGTTTGAATCTCTCAGAAAAACCTATATTTTCTATTAAAGTAGCCTTCTACCAAGGCTTAACTGTTTTGTATGCTCGTTTGTTGTAAAAGTGTGTAATTTCCCAAGTGTAACTATCATTTAACAAAATATAATTTGTACATTAAAGTTTAAGTGAAACAATCACTAAAAGTATGTAATGGGTAAATTATTGTAGTACTGTAGTGTTCTATTATAGGAACTACTATTGTACTAACTACCTTAAACCGGATTTATATTTAGGTATTATGTGATAAATTGCACCATACTATAGACTGGTAACAACGACTATGTATAGTCGAAAAAAATAAGGTATGACGTTTGGCACCCGCAGACCTGCCGGTCCCGCTGTAGCTAGCAGCAAGGTGTAGGATAGTCAATCCAGTATAGATCTATACGCAAACTCACGCTCTCCCTTCAAGAGACTCTGGCTACAACTCGGGTCATGACAATTAAGGCATGCTCCCATACAGTGGATCACAATTGTTATCATATTCGTGTATATGTAATGTAATGTTACTTGTTCTAGTATCGTTGTATATGTTCTCTTTCTAGTATAGTTGTATATGTTCTTCTAGTAGTAAGTATTGACTCATGAATGAACTGACTCGTTGATCTAGAAATTGTAGTAGTATGATCCTATGTTACCCCGATGGTAACTTACTGAAGATGTACTGATAAGTATGAATATGGAAGTACTTTTATGTCTGTATATGTATATTTGATATATAACTAATATTGAAACGACCTTTGGACGACTACCTGAAATCCCACCAGACCACATCTTAAGCGCGAAACGGAAATAGGGTGGATGGCCTTCCTAAGCCCTTTAAACATTGCTTATATATCTATACATATATGGGCATGCAATTTATAAGAAGTATAACAAAGTTTAAAGAAAAGCATTTGATAAGTAAAAGAGTTTGATAAACAGATTGAACAACGATAAAATCATTGGTTTTCTAGTTATTAATCGCATGTGATTAATGTAATCACATGTGATTGATGCAATAACTATAAGCATTTAACTTGTATCCCCCTCCCTAAAATATTTAAAACATTTAAAAGTATTTCAAAGGTTAATTAAAGGGGTATGAACTCACTTGCGGTGAGTGGATTGGATTGAAGTATCAGATATCGTGCTAGGTGGCAAACGGAGACTTGTTCACACGGACGAGCCTAGTTATCATATAATGAGCATATATATAACTAATTAGCCAAATAATAACTTAATAAAATAAGTTAGGACACTCAGGAACATGTAAACACTTTGTATAAGTGTTAAAGGTCCTAAGGGTTGCTTCTAGGTTGTTATGGGACAAGGCTAAAGGGGTTTAATGTACCAAAGGGCTTTATATAAGAGTTTACTACCCAATAAACCCCACACAAGGAGTTTACGGTCCTAAACCCTTGAGTTTATGGCCGTGAACTCCAATCTTGGTGGTAATGTGTGTTTTGAAGTGCTAAATGATTTCTAGAATAAGCCTAGCTTGGTGGTTTAATCCTTTGGGTAGTTTAGGGCCTTAAAATACTCCTTTGAGGAGTTTACGGCCAAAAGACCATTTCTTTTGGGGTTTACAACCATAAACTCTCAAGGGATGGGTGTTTTAATTCTTTCAAGTCTCTTGCACAAGTAGGATAACTTCTAGGCTTTTGTTTAAGGCTAAAGAGGACCCTAGGCACGCTTTGGTGCCCTTACTTGGTGTTTACGGCCCAAGAGTAATTCCTTGGCCGTAAACTCCCTTTAAGGGATGTTCTTGATGCTTAAAAGTCGATAAATTAGCTAGGATTAAATGGGTATTAAACTCTAAAGCCTTAGGAGTGATTAGGGCACATTTTGTCCCTTGAATTTGGAGTTTACGGCCTAAGACTTTCTTGGTCCGTGAACTCCCTAAGCTATGTGTTCTTGATTGTTTTCTAGCCTTAAATGTACATACATATCATCCTAAGCTAGTTACCTAACAAGGAAATGGGACTAAATAGCCTTTAAGCTTCGTTTTGGAGTTTACTCCCCAAGAACGTTCTTGGGCGGTAAACTCCCGAATCTCATATATTTGACATACAATCTATGTTATTAAGCATAAATCAAGCATTAAAACACAACTAAGGAAGTGTACTCATGATTTGGGATGAAAACCCGAAGATCCGTGAGAGAGAAAATGGCTTTTCTCTAGTTGGAAATGTGAATAATGAATGAATTTAGTTCAGAAATCTATTTATAGTCCTGAAATATTTTGGCAGAAAATATTTTTATTCCGGAACTGAATTCTAACATTAAGAAGTTTTGAAATACTCAAGTTTCACAAATCCATGAGCATCCACTCTCTTGATAACTCCTTAAACATAAACCCTAATGTACACAAACTTATTTGGAAAAGTCTAAAATTCGTTGAAACTGGACTAGCTTCTATTGAATAGATAATGTTCGTACAAAAATGAAAATTTCGGGTTGTCACAAATATTATGACCCATTTCATCTCTTTATTTCCTTTCCAATTCATTTAATGTTCTTCAAGATCCCGATCATCATCTTTGTTCATAAATCCGGTTCCCAGCACCACCTACGGTCATCATCTCCGTCCATAAACTTAGTGTTTGGTAGAAGCTCCGGTTACCATCTCTATCCATAAACTCGAAGGTGCAACTCAAATGCGAAACATAAATCCAATCTACAACTCAAACCCAAAACCAAAATCAAATCTCAAATTCAAATGTAAACCTAAAATCAAACCTGCAAATTCAAACTTAAATCCAAAACCAAAATCCCTAATGCAAAAATCATAAGTTGTTGTGTTTTGCTCATATGAATCTTATGCGATTTTGGAAAACGAAGCATTGGTTTCAGATATGGATGAAGTTGTGTTGGGTGGTGAAGTTAAGGTTTGAAATCAAAGATTTTTAGTTTTCTGGTGCGGAAGTTCAATAAGGGAGTATAAACGACGGAATTCCACACGTAGTGACGCCGAAGTTCCATGTTGTCTGCCTTCGATCAATCGTAGTCTTTCCGGCGAACGATTACCGGTGCAAAAGTTCAATCCTTTTGTGAATCCGACGACGTCGACGTCGGAAATCAGAGATTTTCAAATTTCAATCGTCGTCTAGCAAAAGATTTTGGGGTTTTAGATCTCAATGAGTGACTCCGATCTTCCATGTCTTTAATCGTTTACCAATACCTCATCATTATCAGCTTCTCTCGCCGGAAAAGTAATGAGAGGCGGAGGAGAATCGGCGCCGGAGCAGAGAGATGTAGAGTAGTCCGTCATTTTTGTTTTAAGGGAATTGGGGTATGAAAGCAAACATGGGAAAGTGAAACAAGAGGGGTGGGTTAGTGAGAAGTTTTTTTTTTTTTTTTTTTAATTTAAAAATGATAAATAAATAAAAGAAAATTAATATAGAAATTATTAAGGGTAAAATGGTCTTTTTATATCCAAAGGAATGAAGTGTGCAAGTTTTAAATAAACGAGGGAGGGTCCGAGTTAATTTTTGAAAATAAGGACTAAATACGCTTTGTGACATGTGCACGAGGAACGATTGGTGTAATTTATAACTTCCTCAAGTTACCGGTCTTAGATTTTCATTTTTGGTGGGAGACGGAGAGAGGAATAATGGCGAGTGACGGAGCGGCTGTGGATGCCAGCGATGCAGCAGCGGAGGTAGTTGATAAACAGCCCCACAAGTTAGAGAAGAAATGGACGTTTTGGATCGATAATCAATCAAAACCTAAACAAGGCGCTGCTTGGGGCAACAACCTTCGCAAGGTCTACACTTTCGAAACTGTACAAGAGTTTTGGTGGTAAACCCCAATCACTATTTGTTGTTTTCTGTAAATGCAGTAAATAAGATTTATCTGGATGTACCTTTTTCTATGCTTCCATCCCATTGTTAGAGATTCTTGGTTTGATTATCATAATAATTGATGCGAATTACTTTGCTAAAATGATCTGATTTTCAATTAATTGTTTAATGAACGAAATGGAGGTGAATCTAACAGATAGATGAACTTAAAGTCTATCAAAACAAACCCATTAAGTTGATTGATGACGAAATTTATTGCAGTTTATACGATCACCTAAATGGGAAGATCCAGAGTGTGCTAGTGGGGGAAAATGGACAGTTACTAGTAGCAATGTTTTTAAAGCTCAAACTGAGCATTGGAAGAAAGTGGAACGAAATTATAGACGTGTGACAGATAAGATTATCTACAACTTCCATGTAAATCTCATTATCTTTGATCTTATTTATATAAATATTTCTTTATTCCATTTCTGCCATTTTTTGTGAATGTGATTCAGGATGATTCCGAGACAAGAACATCAAAATTAAGGTCGGTACAATGTGTAAATTCATGCAATATAAGTGACTTCGTAGATACTATTTACTACTTACTATCGTATCGTATGTTCAATTTTGAAGTTGACATATGTTATTATTTTTCCAATTCTGAAAGCCATTCCTCAAATCATGATTACCAACCAACATATTAAAGCTAAACTTTTCGATGATATATATAGTTATGAAATATTTGAGGAGAAAAAAAATATTGATCTTGATACAAACTATGAAAAACTAAAAGTATGTTAAGCTAAGAATCCAAGTCTCTCTCCGTTCTTTTTCGCTAGACGAATTAGCCCTTGCCGTTGCTTGGAATCGGCCCCTATCGATTTACAAAACTCGGTGATTACCTGAAAAGCATAAGGTCAGTTGTGTAATTTGTTATTTCAAAGACTATATATTATATACCTGTGAGTGTAGAGCAATTGCTTTTCCTCTAAGCTGATTGAAGCGTTTTTTTCCGACTATGTTACGAGTGACGACGACTAATGGTGCAAAAAGTCCTTTCCCTTCATTCACGTTTCCCATCATTGGGCCAAAACTTAATGGATTTCTTCCGAATCTAACCCTAGTCGTCTTTGTGAGCATGGTGGAGTAATCTTCACCGGCTATGGTGCTGCCCCAGCTTCCATGGAAGGAGGAAGAAAAGGAATTAGTTGCAGTGATGGATGAAGTCGCCATTGCTGAATGGAAAATTTGGTTGAAGGAGGTTAAAAGGCAGGAGATGGATGATATGTGATGTGAAGCCTTGAGAGCCACAGATACTTTGGTGGTTTATAATTTTTGTTGATTTTTTTTTTTTTTTTTTTCCTTTTAATCTACGCGTTTGAAAGACTAAATAGAGAATTTCTTCGTACATGGGTCCCCACTTTTATTTCATACAAGCTTATTCCACTTTCTTTGCTTTTTTTTTTTTTTTTGGTAAAACTAAATAGGCTTGTACGAAAGTTAAAAGATTCTCAAGCTTGGCTCATTTAAGGTTATGTTTTGTAAAACTAGGGTTTTTGTTTTTTAAAATGAACGTCTAACTTCTGTCGAACATATTTATAGAAGAAGAAGACTTCGACTAAAAAGTAAAAAACTATTTGTTATTTAAAGTTTGCACCACGTCAAATAAAAAAAAAAAAAAACTGAAACTTAAATAAATTTGTTTTATTTTTTTATTTTTGTTTTTGTTTTTATAATTTAATACTTTTGATTATTATAGTTTTGACATTGGAATTTAATCCATGTCTTGTTTTTATTAAAAATATAAATTTCATATTTTGTATTAACTACTTAATAAATGTCATCTTGTAAATTAATCATATGTTTTTGTCTGCTATACTAAGGGTGAGCATGTGGACTCGATTAGATTTGAACCTTTTTTCGGACCCTCAGGTCAGTTCTAGGATTTGATCAAAATCGGTCTGGTTTTTTTATCAGTTCAATCCGGTTGGTTACGAATAAAAACAGGTTTTTGCATTGATTTTAAAAAATTCGAATCTATTTTTTGTGAAATTCTTTAAACAAAATATCTCTTTCGTTTTAACTTTTAAGTCGGATTCATAATATGTAGTTTAGAGTTTGTATATGATTTTAACTATTATTTTGTTGCATTTGATGTTATATTTAATGAATTACAGTCATTCAAAGTTAAGATATCAAAACTAAAATATTTCAGTTTTTCAAAAAGAAATTTAAACTTTTGTATCATGTGAAATTTTTTAAATAAACATATCTCACTCGTTTTAAGTTGGATTAACATATAATTTTTTTCAACGTTTAATTTAAAGTTTCTAGTCTTGTAGTTGATTTTAGACTATAATTTTGTTATTTTTTTGGTGTTATATTTAATGAATTACAATCCTTTAAAGTTGTGGTATCAAATCTAAAGTGTTTCAGGTTTTCAGCAAGAAATTTAAAGTTTTGTACTCTTTAAAATTCTTTAAACAATCATATTTCATTTGTTTTAAGTTAGATTGACACACAGTTTCTATTCAAAGTGTAATTTAGAGTTTGTAGATAATTTTAAGCTATAATTTTGTTGCTTTTGGTGTTATATTCAATGAATTATAATTCTCAAAGTTGGGATATCAAAGTTGAAATATTTCAGATTTTCAGCAACAAAATTTAAACTTTTGTATTTTGTGAAAATTTTTAAACAAACATATCTCATTCGTTTTAAATCGGTTTGTAATGCAATTTTTTTCCAACGTGTAATTTAGAGGTTGTAGATGGTTTTAAACTATAATTTTATTGTTTTCGGTGTTATATTCAATGAATTACAATCTTTCAAAGTTGGGATATCAAATCTGAAATATTTCAGCTTTTCAACAATTATTTTAGACTATAATTCTGAATTTTATGGATCTTTGACATATAAATCATATGAAATGGATCTCGGTAGAGTATCGAAAATTTCTGACTTTGGAATTGTAACGAATATTGTGAGTTCTTTGAAAAATTCAAGAGAAAAACAGAGTTTGTTCGGCTACATCAAAACGTTTGGTAAATCTTTTTTATTCGGAAAGTTTTACATGTGGACATACATAAAAGAAAGTGGTCAACCAAAACAAAGTTTCTCGAAATGTTAAACGACACGAAGGTGAAATATGATAAAGTTTTTAACTTATTCGATTCAAAGTTCAAACAAATGGTATAAACAATCAAAGTTTGATCGATCCACCGAGTACAAGAAACGGAAACGTATTCATTTTTAAGAGTTGTATCAAACCGAGAAACGTATTCATTTTAACGAGTTGTAACGTATCAAACTCACCAGCATATTCGTTTTAATGATATGTATCAAACCCAAAAATGTGTTTTACAGGTTGTACTGTATGCATGCAAAGTTGTACTAGTCCAAGAACCAGTAAACCCAGACCTGGACATGGACCCGGTAAGTCTCATCCCGTCTGATCGATGATCCACAATATTCTCTAAAACTGGTTTGGTCCAAGTGCTAGTTCGGTCCAAAAGCTCACACATACGTTATACTACATTGTGCTTCATTTTCGTTTTTATTATCATCAACGTGCACATGGTTATTTCGAAGTGGGATATCGAGTTGATTCTTATTATTCAAGTATTCTTATTTATTAACAATGTATTTTTTATAAAATGTAATTATAAAATGGTATTGTAATTATAAAATGTATTTTTATAATTAGCAATGTTAATTATTATTTTTTTTAAAGTAAACTGTATGTCCTTATGGTTTGTAGAAAACTATGGATGAACTCAAAATTTTTCTAATTTGCACTAATAGTCGAAAACTTAAACTTTTTGTGGTTATGGTCTCAGAAAACTTGAAATAACTGTTTTGACCTTTTTTTTAATAGTATCTATTCTAATAAATAAAGGTTTTTGTTTTGCCACATTGTCACACTCTCATTTAATTTGCTAAATGTCATTTTGTGGTTATTTTGAATTAGTTTTTTCCACATGTCATTTTATGAGTTTTGTATTTTATTAAATTCAACATAATATTTTAATATAATAATTGTAATAAATGTAATAATAAATAGATATCAATTTCATTAATTACGTTACCTTTTAATTTAAAAATTCTCAAATTAACGTTCATTAGTTTCTTTTGTTTATTTATTTAAATTTAAAAGATAAAAAACATTTTAGTTATAATAATTCATTATTTTTCTTATTTTGTTAAATATTTAAAGTTCTCCAATATTTTTACTTTTATATTTAACTTTTTTTTTTTAAATTAATCTATGTATTACATGGGTCTCACAACTAGTTCTCCCTAATAAATGAAAATAATTTTGTCATTTGTCATCCTGTTATGCATTATCCTACATGTACTTTTGTGGTAAATTTACATTAAATTATATTTATGTGTTATTTTATCGTTTTTTTTTTTTTCATTTTGTTAAATTTCATATAATACTTAAATGTAATAAATTTAATAATAAATGTATATCTAATTCATTTCTAAGTTGAATCCCATTATTTTAGTTGTTTATTTATCTAAATTCTTAGTTTAAATTTAAAAGATAACTAAGCACTTCAATTTTAATACTTAATATTTTACTATTTTTCTTAAAAATTCAAATTTCAAAATTGTTAGATCTTTATGTTTTTTTTAATAAACTCATGCAATATATGGGTCTCACAACTAGTTTATTAATATCTGAATATTAAAAATAAAAAAAAATAAAAAAAAAAACCTAAAGAATGAGCCAATCATCATCACCATTAAACCACTTTACCTTTCATCTAATGTTTCTTCCATTTTCTCTTTTGTAGTTGTTTGGTTGCCAGTGAAATTGCTTGCAATCATCATCACCGTTAAACCACCATACCTTCCCATTAAGAGCTCTTTCAAGCAACCACCACTGATAAACCATAATGCCAGCCTTTGTGCCATAATACTCCAAATCACAAAACCACCCATCTAGCCCATTACCAACTGTTCTTAGGTTAAATTTCCAAATGATACCCTACCCTTATATCCTTCCAATCATATTCTTTTCAATCAATAACTGTAACGACAAAAAATTTAAACAAAATTTAAACTTTTCAAAAACATCCCAATTCATTAAGTTATTACAAAAAGGTTTCCAATACATTTATTATGAGAGTATTCTCAGGTCCATATCATAAAACATAAACACGAGGAGTGGTACGATCACGCCTTTGCGTTGCCACAGTCTCTTGAAGAACCTGAAAAACATTAAACCACAACTGTAAGCCCGAAAGCTTAGTGAGATACCCCCAAAATACCAACCACATATACCATACACATAACATGCTATATCATATCGAATCACAGAACAACCATGCATATCGGGTCTACTGTGAGATTGGTCCACCGTGTCAGACCTTCAGTCCACACTACAAAAAAATGCCAATTAGTGACGAAAACAAAATGGTCACTAACAATAGAAGGAGATATCACTAACTGATTTAGTAAGGTGGTGTTTGTTTTTTCTCCGCAGATCTGTGTGGGCTCTTTTGTCTGCGCGGCGCAGACCACGCGCAGACTTAAAGGTTTACAATGTGTTTGTTTTTCTGAAGTGCGTAGACATAAAAACGTCTGCGCGAGGTCTTCACCACACAGACTTGGGCCAACATCTTCTAACGTCTACGAGTGTTTTAAACCTAAAAAAAAAAAAAAAAACATGTCTTCTATTGCATCCGCCTCCATCGTCAAACCTTCCCACGGTCCACAGAACCATCCATCTTCAATCCATCAACCATCGAAGGCATCCCGTCGTCGATTAGCCCCCCCGTGTCGCCGATTAGCACCCTCGTCGCCGCCTGCTCTCCGATCGAAGGCATCAGGAGCGCATTTGGACTTGTACAGCGATTGATTCAGGTGACCAGCGTCGACCATCGAGGCATCCCCGTCGCCGATTACCACCCTCGTCGCCGCCTGCTCTCCGATTGAAGGCATCAGGCTCATCTCGAATTGTATCGCGATCGATTCAGCGACCAGCGAAGCGAACAGGTATCTTCCTTGCGTTTTTTTTTTTTTTTAGTTCCAAATGAAATTAACATGAAATTGATGATTAATTGGGTTTTCTTGTTATCCCTCCGCCAATGGTTCTCAATCAAACACCCTTCCAGTTTTCTTCAAGCATCTCTCTATTTGGAAATTCCGCTCCAGCTTTTGGCATTTGTGCTTCAGAGGGCAAATCCGGTAATTCCACTATCTAGGTACACCTCCACCACTAGCATATTCTTGTTAATTGTTATTACAATAGATGTATATCTGATCCTTCACATTATGCTATTACAATACATGTATGATACATGATCAGATTAGGTTTTTGCATACAAAAAGAATGGAACCAAAGTCATGTATCATGTTTGATTGATATTCTAGAAAATAATATAAATATATAGAGCCTATTTTGCTGAAAATTAAGAGAATTAAAGAAAGTCTTGCCTTTTCTTTTCATTTTTATGTATCATAAGTAGTGCAGAATCAGAAGAGTAGAAAGTCTTGCAGTGAAATAATGCTGAAAATTAAGAAAATTAAAGAAAGTCTTGCTGTGAAATAATGTTGTCAATTGTGAATTGTTTATTGTTGTGAAACAATGTTATCAATTGTGAATTATTTAATGCTGGGAAAATTTGTGCTGAAAATGTGAAAGAATGTTTTCAACTAAGGATATCTAACAAGTCATGTGAAAATCACACTTTAGTTGTTGATTGTTTATTGTTATTTGGTTTTGAAAATACTCTTGATTGTTTCAAATCATTATTTTTTTTTTTGTAATGTGTATGATATGCAATACTTTATGGAATCATATTTGTCAATTTGTGAATGCTAAAATACCTTATGAAATTATTATTGTCTATGATATATTGCTTATTAGAAATGGGAGAAAAACAACAATGGACCAATGAGCATTTAAAATGCTTATTGGATACTTGTATTGAAGAAGTAGAGAGTGTCGGTAGAAAAGGATTGAGTTTGCAGAAAGACTCATGGATAAGGCTTGGAAGAGTTCTTAAGGAGAAATTTGGGTTTGAGTTGAGTCAAAAACAAATGAAAAACGCATATGACAATTTGAAAGCCAAATACACAAGATGGGTGTATTTAAAAAACAAAACTGGTAATATATACAACTCTCAAACAAACACTTTTAACTTAACAGCCGAGGAGTGGGATGATTTTAAGAAGGTATATACACATTTATATATATATATATATATATATATATATATATATATATATATATATATATATATATATATATTAAACATTTATGTTTGACGTCGCCAAATATTCTTATACTATTTTTTTTGTTACATTTGGGTTTAGGGGCATCCGAAGGCTGCTTCATTGAGAACAATTCCACTGCCTTTTCCAGATCTTTGTGCACGTCTTTTTGATGGAAATAGTGCTACTGGTAATTTTAGGAGTTACTCAACCCAATCATCATCAGTAGCTGGAGCATCCTCTTGTCGTCTTCCACCACTTCAGATTACCGCCACCCCTTTTCATGCAATAGATGATGATGGTGAACACACTTCCCACCCCTTTTCTGCCGCTCCACCTTCTGCTGCTTCACCTTCTGCCGCTCCACCTTCTGCAGCTTCACCTTCTGATGCTTCACCATCTGGTAACCCCAACAAAAGGGCTAAACCCTCAACTCCTATACCTCCTAGTGCCTCACCGTCTACTTCTTCAGCTGATGGAACTTCTATTACTGGCGACGATTTAGCATTAGAAATGAAAAAAGCTTTACAAAGTTTGACTAAAGGGTATACAATCCCTCAATGTTTAGAGAAGTTAGAGGTGCTTCAGTTAGGCCCCACCGATCCATTGCGCTTTGTTGCATATCATATTTTTGGAGGGACCATGAACATGAAAGAGATGTGGATGCATTTTCCTGATGTTCCTGAGATATTACGAGGATGGCTTGAGATGACGGGTACAAGTGTAGGAGTTTTGAATGATGGAAAGATTGTCCGATGATTGTTCTAGTGTTGAAACTATTTGTTAGGTCTTTTTGCCTTTGTTGGAACTGTTTTGTTAGGTCTTTTTTCTTTTCTTGGAACTATTTTTTTGTTATGTTGCTACTTGGAATATGGTTTATCTAATGTTTTTTTGGTACATAATGTAATGTGTATTTGCTACGTCAAATATAGTTTATGTATGTTTTTTTGCTACTTGAAATATGGTTTATGTAATGTTTTTTTTTTTTTGTGCTACTTGAAATATGATTAATGTAATGTTTTTTAAAGTTCTACTTTGTTGTTTTTAGGTTCATAATGGATCACGATCAAAAGTTACTTCTCGTAATTCTTATGTACCTGTACATCCGTTTTTTTTTGGAAGAGGGGTGTGAAACGATTGCGGGATAATGATTCGGAAATGACAGGACATGAATACACATTGGAGTTGTTACATCGTAATCGTTTACAATGTGTTGAAGTACTACGCATGTCTCGTGACTCTTTTGTACGACTATGTGCTCATTTTAGAGCAAATTATTCATTAAAGGACAGCAAACATGTATCGGTTGAGGAAAAGATGGCCATGTTTTTTATGATGATCGGCCATAATAAACATTACGTGATTATCGAGCAGAGATTTCAACACTCGAAGCAAACAATTCATAAATTTTTTTATGAAGTGTTGGAAAAAATGATGCTTTTCGCACAAGATGTTATAGTACCAACTTCTTTTAATCCAAATCCAAACATTCCAGGACATAATAGGAGGCTACGACGGGTTTTCAAAGGGGCGGTCGGTGCACTTGATGGCACTTTGATACATGTTGTTGTCCCTGCTAAGAAACAAGACTTGTACAAAGTAGGATTATACACAACCTCTTTTTATGTTGCTCTTTTTCAGTTTTAAGCTATTTACAAACTTTTCAATGTCATATAACCAGGAAGATGCATCAAGTGAGTCAATTACAACAAAATTGCTAACAAATAGCAAAATAGTAAGTGGAAATGTGGAATATGAGAACATGAAGATTAAGTAGTAACCTCTAGTCACCAAGTTCACTTTCAAAAAAACACAACCCATTTAATAAATAATCAGACACATATAATAAAATAATTTATAATTCAAATTTCATCACTTCTTCATAACAGGAGTCAACCTAAGATGGGAATAATTCCTTATTGCTTTCGGGGATGCAATAACTTCAGATTGTAATCCTGACTATCACTTCTTCTTAGCTGATCAAAAAAATAAAAACAAACTTTTTTTCAACATTTTCTAGAAAATTAACATTAACAAGATTAAAAAAACTAACCATGAGTAATTAAGGGTTAGCATAGCAAAAAACTTTCCTTCACTGTTTAAAACTTCAACCACCTGTCTTGCACGTTTTGCTTTATTGTTAAAACAAAACTCTAGGAATATATAAAACACAGTAAAAATAAAAAATAAAAACCTTCATGATTTCATGATTCTTCCATGGTCCTTTATCAGATAGAAGACACCCCCTTGATCTGCACAAGTACAAATGCCACCCAAAAATTTAGGCAATTTACTGTAAAAAAGAATATGTTAACTGAAATATTTTTTTAAACATTTATGTAATATAATAATTATAAAACATATATGATTACTTGGAATTGATAATCTCAACTCAGACAATTTATTCTTGTTTTTGCATCTAAGAACTTGAGAAATCACCAAACAGAAAGATTCATTCCTAAAATAGTTATGAAGAAAACAATGAAAATCTTTTAAGAGGTAATACAAAAACATATGCTATGACTTATGAGCTACATACATGAATCTTTGATGTTGTTTAGGTATCAGCAATCTAAGTTTGACAATCTGCCATGGTCAAACATCAGACTAAATAGAGATCTAGAAAGGAGAAAAAGCAACAAGATAAAGTCAACATGCCTGGGAGACATGATATTCTTGTCCATTATTTAAGGAGAAAATGAAAAATCCTTTGGATTCTTCTGACTCTTCTGCATAATTTGATGCAAAACTCTACTCCGAATCATTATTGTCATCAAAATTTTGAGTCAATCCAGCGTGGTTCACCTATAACAAAAAAATAATCTCCTCAATTATCATGAATGAGAAAACGAGTGCACTATAATATGAATACTTTTAGATCCAATAGTAGAAGGATGTTAGAGATATAATGAAGCGATTTAGCAAATAATGGATCAGAATGTATAAGGAATGGATCATATGATTGCTTCCAAATATGTATATAGTGTATAAGCAAGCAAGAGTGAAGAAGAAAACATATATGATGAGAAATGGGAGCATCAAAGTGATCATGCTTAATCATGTTTCCAAGCATTACAAACATGGTGATTGTAAGTACACCCCTGTGAGGATCTACCTTGGATATATCCCCATTTTGCATCAGATCCATTTCTTCTGGATTCCTCTATAATATTTATTCTAATTCTAGTTCTAATGCTAATGCAACTACCACGAAAATGCTGAAATTTAATGTTTTTTTATGTCAAACCTAGTTAGCATTCACATTATTATACTTTTCGTACTTGAAGTATAACAATGTCTTAAGATACTTTCTGAATTCAAAATGTAAATCTGGAATAGAGACACTGACCAAACAATTTTGTGCTATTGCAAATGATGTTTCTCATGTCAAATGTTTATAAATCAAAATGAAGAACAAGATTCAACTTATTGTAAAGAGAATAAATCAAAATGTGCTAATAGTATGTGAGGATTTCCCCCAAATTGAAAATGAAATTGACTTACAGGGGCAAATTCGGGGGAGAGAGTGAGAGTCACGAAGGACAGGTTAGAAGTAGTAGCAATTGACGGCCCACGACATTGGTAGCAAAATAATCCAAATATGAAAAACATACGAACGTAACCAACATAATCATGCTCCGACAGCCCCAATGACTCGTCGATCGTAGACCACTCAGATCGCTACTGAGAGTACCGCAGATGATCCATCTTGGGTGAACGTCTGGTGGTCTAGGTCAACCACCGTGGGTTCGGTGGTGCCACAGTCGATGAGGTAGTGATCAGCGGGGAAAAAAGAGGAGACAACGACAATGGAAATAAGAAGAAGAGATGAAATTCGGATCGACATCGCTAGCATTTGATATTTTGAATTGGAAATTTAATCAAAATTTGATGAAATTTAATCGATGTGAAGAAGAAATTTGGGGTATTGACGCGTTGTTTAGCTTCACCGTCATTACCTGAAGACTTTTTCAACTTGAGTGGTTCTTCTACGGTGGCACCTTTTTCTCCATTTTCAATTTTGGCCATCATAGTTTCAAACTTTACAAAACAGATACGAATTATTTTCGTTTGAATAAGAATTTGTTTAATAACTAGTTTTCTCAAAACATATTATGATCTTTATTTCTCAACTTCTTAGATTTAAAATAATCAGTTTTAGATAAATTTGTAATGGTCTACATATTAAGAATTTGTTTAATTGCACCGGGCCTTCAACCCACCTGGTCCACTCCCTGAGTCTACAGTATGACTGGTCCACCCGCATCGGGCCTTCAGTTGGCCTGGTCCACTCTCTGAGCCTCGGCACGTCTAGTCCGCCCCCGTGGGGCCTACAGCCTATCCGGACCGCTCGCTGGGCCTTCGTAAAAACTGGTCCGCCCTGCGTATCTTGGCCTACAGCACAAAGTAGGACCCGCCTCAACCCAACTTGACTTTTGATTGTTATAGTTTTGACATTGGAATTTAATCCATGTCTTGTTTTTATTAAAAATATAAATTTCATATTTTGTATTAACTACTTAACAAATGTGATCTTGTAAATTAATCATATGTCTTTGTCTGCTATACTAGGGGTGAGCATGTGGACTGGACTGGACTTGAACCTTTTTTCGGACCCTCAGATCAGTTCTAGGATTTGATCAAAACCGGTCTGGTTTTTTTATCAGTTCAATCCGGTTGGTTACGAATAAAAACAGGTTTTTGCATTGATTTAAAAAAAATCAAATCTACTTTTTCTGAAATTCTTTAAACAAAATATCTATTTCGTTTTAACTTTTAAGTCGGATTCATAATATGTAGTTTAGATTTTGTATATGATTTTAACTATTATTTTGTTCCATTTGATGTTATATTTAATGAATTATAGACATTCAAAGTTAAGATATCAAAACTAAAATATTTCAGTTTTTCAAAAAGAAATTTAAACTTTTGTATCATGCGAAATTCTTTAAATAAACATATCTCACTCGTTTTAAGTTGGATTAACATATGATTTTTTTTCAACGTTTAATTTAGAGTTTGTAGTCTTGTAGATGATTTTAGACTATAATTTTGATATTTTTTTGGAGTTATATTTAATGAATTACAATCCTTTAAAGTTGCGACATCAAATCTAAAGTCGTTCAGTTTTTCAGCAAGAAATTTAAAGTTTTGTACTCTTTAAAATTCTTTAAACAATCATATTTCATTTATTTTAAGTTAGATTGACACGCAGTTTATATTCAAAGTGTCATTTAGAGTTTTAGATAATTTTAAACTATAATTTTGTTGCTTTTGGTGTTATATTCAATGAATTATAATTCTTCAAAGTTGGGATATCAAAGTTGAAATATTTCAGTTTTTTAACAACAAAATTTAAACTTTTGTATTTTGTGAAATTTTTTAAACAAAGATATCTCATTCGTTTTAAGTCGGTTTGTAATGCAGTTTTTTTTTTCCAATGTGTAATTTAGAGATTGTAGATGGTTTTAAACTATAAGTTTATTGTTTTCGGTGTTATATTCAATAAATTACAATCTTTCAAAGTTGGGATATCAAATCTGAAATATTTCAGCTTTTCAACAATTATTTTAGACTATAATTCTGAATTTTATGGATCTTTGACATATAAATCATATGAAATGGATCTCGGTAGAGTATTGAAAATTTCTGACTTTGAAATTGTAACGAATATTGTGAGTTCTTTGAAAAATTCAAGAGAAAAACAGAGTTTGTTCGGCTACATCAAAACGTTTGGTAAATCTTTTTTATTCGGAAAGTCTTAGATGTGGACATACATAAAAGAAAGTGGTCAACCAAAAGAAAGTTTCTCGAAATGTTAAACGACACGAAGGTGAAATATGAAAATGTCTTTAACTTATTCGATTCAAAGTTCAAACAAATGGTATAAACAATCAAAGTTTGACCGATCCACCGAGTACAAGAAACGGAAACGTATTCATTTTTAAGAGTTGTATCAAACCGAGAAACGTATTCATTTTAACGAGTTGTAACGTATCAAACTCACCAGCATATTCGATCTAATGAGTTGTATCAAACCCAAAAATGCGTTTTAACGGGTTGTACTGTATGCATGCAAAGTTGTACTAGTCCAAGAACCA